TTTATCATTTTAAATAATTACAATAAGGTCTATTAGGTGTTCGTCCAGAACTAAATGGATAAACACGTATGTTAAGTAATTGATATCTTGATTATTAAAAAGCAAAATGTTTATTTCAAATGTCAAAGGTATATAATATTTTGAATAAAAAATTGACAACAGATTTCTCAAGTTCCGCCACGGTTTCTCCTCTTAATTTATTTCTATTTTCGCTCCCCGTTTTATTCGATAGAATTCTCGAGTCGACACTCTTACAATATCTGCTCTCGCTTTTATATCAATACAACATTCCCGACCGACTAATTAAGCTTCATTAGAATCTACGAATCGACTCCATCTGCGATGGAACGTATACAATTATAGATGAACATTATCAGCGCAACAGCTACCGTGGCGTGCAGTGTAATTGCACAGTTCGCTATTTAATATTTCATTCTAATAGAACAACACTCGCGAATTCCTCGGAGTTGTCAGATCTCTGCGCCATCAGTGTCCGCCGAGGCGCCAATCGCGAATCCAGAGCAAATTAATTCCATTAGCGAACGCTCGTTCCGTTGAAACAGCGATTTCCATCGCGTCGCGAAGACGAATGTCCTCGGCGTTCGTTTCTCTACGAGGATGACACGCAAAGTGTGCTCGCCTTCCGTTTACTCGATGTTCCTGCTGTTCTGGCTGCTGTTCAAAGTGCTCGGTCTCGCGACAGCCTCTTTGCGGAGCGGCGACTCGAAGAGCAAACAGTCCGCGCGACTGTCGTTCGCGACCAGACCCTTGGGGACGATTTACAACGTGCTCCTCTGCTGCGCGATTCTCGTCTCGAGTCTGTTCAGTATTCCGGCGTTGTACATTTACGAGTACGCCAACAAATCCTCGACGACGACGGTCATAGAAAAGATCCAAGGTATATCCGGATATCTGATGATCCTCGGCATTCTGCTGTATTACTGCGTGAACCAGCCCACCATCAAGAGTATCGGCAACTGCTTGATCCGCGTCGAGGGGAAGCTGCGTCTCCTGCGGTACTCGATCGATCACAAGCGGATCGTATGGATTCTGACGATCGTCTACGTTCTCCACATAGTTTTGTTCTTCGTCACCCTGGTCACCCAGCACGTGGCTTTCCTGGATAATCCGCTCATCTGGTTCACGGACGTGTTCCCCACGACCTTGGCGAACTGGCTGCTCATTCAGTATTTCTCGGTGATCAGCCTGATGAAGATGAACTTCGTGTGCGCGAACCACGTCCTGCGAAACCTTTGCAGCAGCTCGCACGCGGCGGACAGCTACGCGAAGTACCTCTGCCGATCTCGACGCGTGTTCGTCAACAGCTCCACCATTCAGTCTCTCCTTCAGCTGAGGAACATTTACGACGACCTGTTCGACGTCTCCAAGGAGATCTCGGACTTTTATTCGCTACCGATTCTGATCGGCATCCCGTTTCTCTTTTATACGTTGCTGTACAACTTTTACTATCTGCTGCAGCCGTTGATCATCGATCACGAGTCCCTGGAGCTGCTGTCGTTCGTCAACACCGTCATCTGGATCATGTTTCTGATTTATCCTATCGGACTGCTGACCGTCGAGGTCACCAATCTGCTGAACGAGGTAGGGTTGTATCAGTGGCTACAAATATTCCTTGGCTGTGTACCGTTCGAGCGTTTCTGAAATCCTGGTGGCCTCTGGGAATTCCTATAACGCGGGGGAAGACTGAAAAACCATTAGCTTGATATATATAGATCATATATATATATATATAGATCACACGTTTTCTCCATTTCCCTGACCTTGAACGACCTTGAGTCATAAGTAGTTGAATTCGTCTTAAAACGCACTGTTTGATG